AACACATGCAGATGCGCTTGCTTTGCCACATCTTTTATCAAGGCATTTGCAGTTGTGCCTTCGATAGTTGTAGCCTTTCGCTTTGTCGCTTTCTTTCTTTGGACCAAGATTCAATTTGGTTCATCTGTTACATTCTTAGTGCCTCAGCGTTAGGTGGTAAAGCAGTAGATGCCACGGCATCGGGGCACGTTTTAATTTTTCGCTCTTCCAGTTTCTTTAGCGCCGTTGCTACTGCAGCACTAACCTGTTTATTTGAGATTTTGCTGGAATCTTGGTCTTGCTGACATTCGATTTCTTCTTATTCAAATGTATTTTGAATTATTCAAATCGGACGCTCCGTTCTCTTAAAAACTGAGTTACCCTTTGCGGTACTTTTTGCCCCGTATCTTCGAAACGGCTAGACCTGCCTATGCCAAAAACTATTCAACACGTCTCCTTATCAATATGAATCGAATGTGTTTTGAATTATTCAAATCGGTTGATCCGTGTTTCCGAAATCGTGGACGAAAATTTTTATCCGCATACACACACACATCCATTTTTTCTAAGGTATGCCAAAATGTTCAGAAACCTTCGAAACTTAAAAATATATCAAAATTTTTATTTTCGATTTTTTTGCGTTTACTATAACTTGCTGCAGTAATATATAATTCTGTTATCAATATCAGTGGCAGATTGTGGATTTAGTGTTTTGTTCTTACTTTTGCAACATAATTCATGATACCGAACCCCTTTTACCTGAGGACAATTATCATCCTGCTCTTTATATTTCTGTTTCCCTTACATCTTCTTTTTCCACACCCAATACTTTGCAATTTAATAAAAATAACTATCATTACAATTTCCACAAAGCGGATTATCTTAATCTTTACAGGGAAATTTTAAATACATCGTGGAGTTCTTTGTATACATGTTCTGACATTAATGATGCATGTGATCTTTTTTACGCTACAATTTATAGCTTATTAGATAAATTTGTTCCTAAAACAAAGAAATTTTCTTCCAATAAATTTAAGCCTTGGTTTAATTCTGATATTATTAGAAGCCTCCGTATGAAGAAATACTATCATAATAAATACAAGTTAACCAATATCACTTTCTATTATGAAAATTTTAAATTGTACAGGAAATTAATAAAAACACTTATGAAAGATGCCTATAATTCATATATTATTGACGTTGAAAATTCTCTATCGCTTAATCCTAAATATTTTTGGTCTTTTTTGCGTAATAAAACTGCTTCTAATATTATTCCTAATAGATTGTGCTATCTAGACAAATATTATGATTCTCCTGATGCTATTGTTGATGCATTTAATTCTTACTTTATTAGTGTTTATCAGCCTAAACTTGACATACCCATTTTATTTGATCATAATGATAGAATCATGATTGATATAGGTGAAATTGATTCTAGTACTGTGCAACATGCAATAGCAAGTTTTAAGAACTCCAAAATATTTGGTTTCGATGGTATTCCATCTTTCTTTATACGTGATTGCTCATCTACTCTATCTGATCCACTTGCATTTTTATTTAATCTATCTTTGCGTACAAACACTTTTCCAAATTGTTGGAAAATTGCACGATTAGTTCCAACTTTTAAACAAGGTGTTACATCAAACATTACTAATTACAGGCCGATATCATTATTATCAAACTTTGCTAAGGTATTTGAAAAAATTATTTATAGAGAACTAATTCCTTCTGTTAGAACTTTAATTTCTATTAATCAACATGGTTTCATGCCTGCCCGTTCAACGATAACAAATTTAATTTGTATTAAACAATATATAGCTGAGAATCTTGACATCAATGGACAAGTTGACGTTATTTACACTGATTTCAGTAAAGCTTTTGATAATATTGATCATAACATTCTCCTTACTAAATTATCTAAGATTGGTCTTAATTCTTCACTTATTCACTTTTTCAAAAGTTATCTTCATAATCGCAAGCAGTTTGTCTTTCTTAATGGATTCTTGAGCAACATTGAAAATATTAGTTCAGGAGTTCCTCAGGGATCCATTCTTGGTCCACTATTATTTATTATTTTTATTAATGACATTTCTGATACTATTAACTGTCCACATTTATTATTTGCAGATGATCTGAAACTATATCTCAAAATAAATTCTATTGATGACTGCTTATTATTACAGTCTCAACTTGACCTTTTCCAATCTTGGTGTATCTATAACAAATTACATCTAAATATATCAAAGTGCAAGATTCTTAGTTTTACACATAAGCGCGTTCCAATACTTTTTGATTATAAAATTTCTAACACCAGCATTGATAGATGTAATAAAATTTCCGATTTAGGTGTTCTATTTGATTCTGGTTTGTTTTTCACAGATCATGTTACTGATATTTGCAATAGAGCACATCAATCTTTAGGTTTGATACTAAGAAATTGTAAACAATTTAAGTCTACCAATGCACTTCTTTGCATTTACTATTCTATTGTACGTTCAAAATTAGAATACGGTTCGATTATTTGGTATCCTCATCATATCAACAACTCTGATGCGATAGAGAAGGTTCAGCGAAAATTTCTGAAATACCTTTATTATAAAACATATAAAATTTACCCTGAACGTGGCTTTGACCACAACACTTTACTAAAAGAATTTGGTATTCCTTCCCTTGCCTCACGTCGATTTATCTGTACAATTATGTTCTTATTTAAGCTTTGCAATAATTCTATAGACTGTCCTCTTATTCTCAATCAACTATCCTTTAATGTTCCAAGGCTATCTTCGCGTTCACAATTATTTTTCAATTATCCCACCCCTAAATCTAATTCTCTCTTAAATTCGCCTATTTTACTAATGTCCTCTAACTTTAACTTAATTAATAATGAAATAGACATTCACAACACATCACCTAATCAAATAATCTCCATCTGCACAAGTTAATCTTTTTATTTTCTTTCAAATATCTTATTATTTCTGTTTATAAATATTATTGTTACATTCTGCATTATATGAAATTTTATCTTAGCATTTTATGTTACTAACTATATATTGTAATTTTGTGTATATTTTAATTGTTATTCATTATGTCAAATAATTGTATTTTTGAGTCCTCTTGGAGAAATCTGTGGGCTATATATTTAAATAAATAAATAAATAAATAAATAAATAAATATAGAACACCTGTAACCTTTTATTTTTATAAATAATTTAATTAAATCTACATTAAATTTACATGATGCTTGTAACATTACAATTAAATATTATTTACAATAACAATGAATAAAAATTTTAATAATATTGACAGTATTACAATATTTACAAATTGTTCAATTTTTTCAAATAATTTTATATTTTTTACGAAATATTCCATCATAAAGTACTCTAATACCACTGTAACATTCGTACTTTTTTATTTTCATACTAGCTGACCCGACAAACGTTGTTTTGCTAAGTTAGGTATTTCTAAGCAACTTCTAAAAAATAAAAAAAATAATACTATATTTTAGAAGTGTAAGGATGTATAGTTTGAATGATAGAGACAATGAGGTATTATAAACACAATAAACTCCAAAGTCTACTTGTATAATAATAAATTATATAATTTATAATAACAATACTCGTTTGACCATATTTTGTTAATACAATCAAACTGCAAGTTTTATACACTTTCTATAAAAATATGGTATAATTCAATCCAAGTCTTTTTTAATCTTTAGCCGTGGTCAATGTTTAGTTGGTATTTTTGCCCCACACAGATGTAAGTTTTTAAAGTGGTTATATAAAGAAAACTGTTGAATCTCACTCAAAATTAACATTACATTTTATAAAACAATTAAATAGTTAAATTTTATATTAAGGTCTCGTGAACTAAATCACAGTGCTCACAACCCAAAAAACCGTTTTTCTCCTGATAGCAAAGTCATAAGAATCAAGGGTATAGCTGGTTATACATCTTTTCCCCTCTACTTTCAAATATTGTTGTTGAACAATGCTAAACTTTACTGGTTTTTGAGATATTGGTGGTGGATCTTATTAACCCCAGATCTTCATACATTACTATCCATTCTTCGATAAATTCATAGAAAATTTTTCCAGTTCATTCTTCAAAATTAATGGAAAATAACCATTAGTGAATTATATTTTACAGTGCATTATCCAATGATTGTTGAAGTTCTTCATCTTTTTCAATATCAATATGAATGATACTTGACTGTGTCTAAAATGCATGGATTTTGACATATCTTTCGAAAGGAATTCCTTCAGAACTGTCCATACATTTAATTGAATGCGAGCATTATAATCAATTTTCAAAATATTTTATTCCAGAGAACTTGTAATTATGTGCATTCACATTTTTACATATGTGTGTTCCAAAGTTAGATTATCAACCGAATCTTCTTATTTGAGTAGTGGTCTGTCATATCTGGGAATAAGTTATTCGACAAAATGTCCCCTTTGTTTATTTGTGCGTATTTCAAGAATTTACTAAAACTCTTCTTCTTCGATCACTCAGGTTGTTAGGTTATTATTTAACCTTTGTCGCTGTGGACTGTATTAAAAAACTGATTTAATTTTATATTCTGTATTTGTTGCAGTTCTAATCACAATAACTGATGTATTATTAAGTATTAATGAAAAAAAATATATTTATGCGTATAGGTTAGTTTACATGTGGTTAAGTCGGCTTCACTTTTAGAACAGAACGACTCGTTCCTTTAAAACACAACGCTACCCCCACTACCAGGGGTAGCAACCATTTCGTATAAAACTTAATGCCCTGAAGGTTTTGTAAACTTTCATGGCCACTATAATGAAATGAAAAGACGTCCGAACATGCCGGCCGCCTTGAAAAGCTACAGCTTTTAAAAATATAAACATAGCGATTTTGAACTAACATTAAGAAAATAAAAATTGTATAAAGATTTACGAGTATAAAAATTGATTAATAATGTGATAGTGATTTGCATGACAATCTAATCTAAAATTATTTAACTTATATTTCTTAATATTATATAAAACTTAAGATATTTCATTATTGATTGGTAGAATGCACACTTTGTTTAGTGCCCTTTTTAGTTCTCCATTGGGGCCCTTCAGTGTAACAACCCGTACGACACCATCATTGCCTGGATGTATATCTGTGATCCGTCCAAGACGCCATTTTAATGGTGGTAGATTGTCATCTTTTATAAGCACCAGTTTGCCTATAAGATTATCTTGTTCTATTGGTCTTCTCCATTTGGTCCGTGATTGTAATTCTCCTAGATATTCCTTGTGCCATCTTGTCGATAAATGCTGCCTTAGCTTTTCAAGATACTGGAGTTTTGTTAGTCTGTTTTCTGGGATGTGGGAAATTGAGTTTTCTGGAAGTGATGTTAATGATCTGCCGATCAGGAAATGTGCTGGAGTTAGTGAATTGAGATCAGATGGATCAGAGGATAAGGGAGTTAACGGACGAGAATTCAAAATTGCTTCGATTTGTGTTAATAATGTATACATTGAATTGTAACATAGTTTTGTCTTGCGTAACACCCTACGAAGATGGTATTTTAAACTTTTTACTCCAGCTTCCCACAGTCCGCCGAAATGAGGAGATCTTGCTGGTATAAAATGCCAGCTAATATTTTGACTTATTAATTTACTTCTAATCTCTTCGTTAGATTCCAATAAAAATTTATATAAATCTTTTAAATGATTGTTTGCTCCAACAAATGTTGTTGCATTGTCCGAAAATATATTACTAGGAAGACCTCTTCTAGCACTGAATCGTTTTAATGTTTGTAAAAAGGATTCTGTCGATAAATCGCAGACCAGATCCAAATGAATAGCCTTGGTGCACATGCAAATAAAAATACAAATGTAAACCTTAATAAATCTGGCACCGCGTGTTATTCGATCTTTGATAATAAACGGTCCAGCATAATCAAGGCCGACATTGTTAAATGGAAAATCTTGATTAACTCTACCACTAGGCAAATTTCCCATTAGATAACCATTTGACGATGGTTTTGCTTTGAAACAAGTAACTCATTTCCGAATAATTTCTTTACAAGCGTTACGTCCAGAAATTGGCCAAAATCGTTCTCTAATACTTGCGAGAAGTTGTTGAGCACCACAGTGAAGTAATCGGTGATGCTCTTGATGCAATATTAACGTAGTTAATTTATGTTTTGGGCATAATATTATAGGATGAATTTTATCAAATGAATAATTTGTGTTTTTTAATCGACCGCTTACTCGCATAATTTTCGAATTATCCATAAAAGGATTTAAACATAAAATTCTGCTCTCTTTACTGAGCGATTTAGAATTGACAAGATTCTTATAATCTAATTGGAAAGATTGTTTTTGTGCAATTACTATCAATACTTTAAAAGCTTGATCTAATTCTTGTGTTGTAAGTGGTCCAAACTTCCGTTTATACTTATTCTTTTTAAGTCTACAATTCGTAATAAATCTATTTACATATGCCATTATTGATTGTAATTTTCGCAATGACGAAAACCGAGAAAATAAATCAAATTCTACATTAGTGACTAATAAATTAATTGCTCTTGTTTCTGGTATGTTTTTGTCATTAAAATTTAAATTATCTACAGAATTCAAAGTTGTAATATTTTGAGACAGCATAAAGGTCATTTAAATAAAATCTATGTTAATTATGTTGTGTTGTAAGCAGAAGAATAAAATTTTATTTTATTTTGCCAATTGTTTAAGATAACGTATAGCTAAAAATGATCCAGGTGCTGTACCATATGTGACCGTATTTAATTTACATGTTTTTGACTTATCTGTTAGATTTTGTCTACCGTCTTCATTAATTATTGTTTGCCGATAAATTTTGGAAGTATCGCCTAATAAAGCATATGTAGGCATTCTAAATCTTAACATTTTTGTAAATAAGTCATTTCGAATTGACGTTCCCGTATAATGAACATCACACATTGGCAAGGCGCTTGAAGACTTTCCCGAACTTTGAAAAACATCTCTCGTTTTTGTTTTTAAACTATATTTATTCCTTACTGTGCGATGTGGCAAGAAATATTGACTATTTGACTTAATATTAAAATTACTAACTTCAGACATATGTTTTAACTTACTATATGCATTAATAAAATTTACACAATTAATTTTTAATAAACTATTCTCTTGGAATTTATGTTTACGTGACATAAATCTTTGTATATGACGAGTTTTCAAATCTCTTAAATGTAATTTATTTTTAAAAGGAATTTTTTCTATAAATCTACCTGTAAAATCGCGTTTAAAATTTGTTATAAAATGATTTTCATAAAATGTTTCGTGTTTTGTTACTTTTTCATAATTGGTGTTTTTAATATCTTCTACTTCGAAAACTTTCTCTAATTGTTGATTATTATTATAACTATTCAATGCCAATAAATTTACTGAATGTTTTGAATTTTTTGAATATGTGCAATTCGGAGAAAACGACCCAACTAATATCCAACCTAATAAAGTTTTCTGTAAAATCGGTGCGTTATCACCTAATTTAATTCTACCTACCGATAAAAGTTTCCAAAACATATCGGCCCCTAAAAGTATATCTATATTCCGCGTCTTATTGTATTCCGGATCAGCTAAGAAAATATTTGTCGGAATTTTAAAATTGTTATCTATGGAAACTAATGGAAGTGGTTCTGTTATTTTTTCTAGCACTAAACAATTTATATTGGGTTTAAAGGAGTTATTTGTAGATTTAAAATTAACATTTGTTGAGAACCGAATATTGGTCTCTATCTGCCCGACGCCCATAACTGTGTAATTTGTTTTGTCTAGTTTTATACCTAGCCTTTTGCACACCACCTTAAATCAGGCTAAGAATTTTGACATTTGCATATTTCAGCCAGCATGAAGTTGGCGACGAAATAGAAGTTAGCCGTCAAGTTGAAATGTATTGGATTCATAACTTTGACAGCTAAAACCTGTCAAGATCATTATTATCACAGCCAAACAAGTATTATTATTATTATATTGTCTAATACCAAGATGATAGCCTTTATCTTAGACAATATATTACGTTAAAATACAATATATCTTGTTCCCTCATAGCAAATATTGCAGAAAAAACGAAATATCCAAGACAGTATGAAGTATTTTGGTTTAGTCAAGTCAATTCCAAGACAGTATGAAGTATTTTGGGTTAGTATTATAACATCAGAAGTGTTTCAATTTTATTTCATTTAGTGAACCTTCTATTTGTTGTTTGTTGAGTTTTAGTTAGCTTCCACTGAATTAAGGTTAAGATCGTAACCAAACCTAATAATGTATACAACGCAACCCTAACAAAAATAATGAATAAAATGTAACCCTATGCGTAAAACGTAAGCCTAAATTATTTTTTAAAACAAAATTATAACTAAAACATTGTATAAAATCTAAGCTAGACTAAAATGATCTTTGAATGAAAAGAATCCTAAAACATAACCCTAAAATGTAAAAATTAAAATAAGAAGTAAATAGGCGCGTAATCAAAAAGCCAAAGCGAATAAACTTGAACGAACATAAAAAAATAAACACAAAAAGAATGAATCATAACAAAAAGCTAAAAAATATTAAATATGAAACAAGCCTACTTAATAAAAAACCATACGCCGACACAACGCTGATATAAAAATGAACAAAATGGCCGACGCGCTCTTGACATCTGAAATGCTTGACAGCTTGATATCAGTCTTCGCCGGCAACTTCATGCTGGCTGAATTATGCAAAGTCTTAGCTTGATTTAATGCCTCCTGCCTTTTGCAGGTATCTGCCGTAATAAAATTACTTTGTGCCCCGCAATCTAAAAGACACCGACATTCTATGAACTCCCCGCTCGAGCTTTCTACTTTTATAACAGCTGTTGCTAAAATTACTTGTGGCTGTAATTTTGTATTAATATTTTTTGTCGAATAATTAGCAACCGTCATATTTGAACCCGATGTGCTAGGAATTGTATTAGTCTCTTCAAAATGAACCAATGTATTATGTTTCATTTTGCATATTTTACACGGAAATGCCAAACAAACGTCTACCTTATGCCCTCGCTTGAAACAATTTATACATAAATTCAATTCTTTGATTCTACTTATCCTATCTTTAATAGATAGCGCTTTAAATTGCTTGCAGTAATATAAAGAGTGATTTTCTTCACATAAATAGGAAGTTTGCCGCCCTGTTGACAGATAATTAATTGATGAATTATGATTATTATTTGTGCTCTTGTATTTTATGTGTTGAGCCAAAGATTTATTAATATTATTAGGAAAAGGTTTACTACTAATATTTGTGGATAACTTTTCTAACATATCACATTTTTGTTTAATAAAATTATTAATATCTGTCAACGTCGGCTTTTCTTTGCTACAGGTAAAGGATTCCCAATCCCGTAACGTACGCGTATCGAATTTATTTGTGAATATAAATATAATAATTGTGTCCCATTTATCTGTGGGTTCGCCTAATGACTCTAATGAGCGTAGATGCCTAGAAGTCGTTTCTAATAACGTTCTTAATTCTGTATGAGATTCGCGACTACATTTCGGACTATCAAAAATTGCCTTTATATGATTATGTATGATTAACCGTTTATTTTCAAACCTGTCTTTTAAAATTTTCCATGCTATATCATAATTAGAATCGGATGCATCTATAGCTGCAATGCTATTTTTGGCATCTTTTTCTAATGATGATTTTAAATAATAAAATTTTTGAATTTTGCTTAAAGTATTGTCGCTATGCACCAAAGCGTTAAATGAATCATGAAATTCTAACCATTTATCGTAACTTCCATCAAACGTGGGAAGTTTAATTGTTGGTAATTTAATATTTTTGATATTCGTATACGAATCAATGCTAGACGGCCCTATTGTTTGCTGATCGTCTTTGCATTTTTTCGTGTCATTGAAATTTTGAATTATAAATTTTAATTTAGCTATTGTTCTATAATAATCACTTTCGAAAGATTCCTTATCGCTTTCTGATACACCCTCAATTAATTCAATTTCATATTGTATCGTTTCAAATTCATCAATAATTGGTAATATCTTTTCGAGTCTGGTATTTAATTCAATAATTATATTTTCATCTAGTATTGTGGAATCTAATGAATTTACAAAATTTTGCACTCGCGTCAATTTGGATTTAATGAATCCACCCTTCGCTTTAAGTTCCGCCATTTTAAATACAATATTAAACACAACCGAGCATAATGTGAAATTATTGGGATATTATGAAAGGAATGAAAACAGACTTACTTGTAATACAGGTGTGTAGATGTTGTAATTGTCCTCAGCCTTCGTTGCCCTTGTTTGCTCTGGTCTGACCGCCACGTGGTTATAAAGTTTAGCCGCTTTGGATTGTTTTTTCTTCACAACACTTGGAAATTTGTTATCACTATTGTACTTTAATTAACTGCTTGTAATTCACGATCCGGCTCGAAGGACCAAAATGTTTATTTGTGCGTATTTCAAGAATTTACTAAAACTCTTCTTCTTCGATCACTCAGGTTGTTAGGTTATTATTTAACCTTTGTCGCTGTGGACTGTATTAAAAAACTGATTTAATTTTATATTCTGTATTTGTTGCAGTTCTAATCACAATAACTGATGTATTATTAAGTATTAATGAAAAAAAATATATTTATGCGTATAGGTTAGTTTACATGTGGTTAAGTCGGCTTCACTTTTAGAACAGAACGACTCGTTCCTTTAAAACACAACGCTACCCCCACTACCAGGGGTAGCAACCATTTCGTATAAAACTTAATGCCCTGAAGGTTTTGTAAACTTTCATGGCCAATATAATGAAATGAAAAGACGTCCGAACACCCTTTGATTGATTCCAAATTTAGGTTTTTAATTTAAATAATCTAAATAAAAAAATCATATAATCTAGAAAATGTTTTATAAATACTAATGAATATAAAGTTATGCAACTAAGACTGGCCCAATTCGTAAAGCCATTTTAACGTTTTACCCCGATTGTTATATAGCTATATAAAATGGACATTTCTTCTTTATGAACTTGCTTGAACATATGTAGATTTTCAACATGAGTACATATTGTGATAAATTTCAATGTGTTTATTTTGATTTTTTTTTCTACAACTGTGCATCCAAATTAGTGGTATCTTTGTTATCACCATGACCACTATATAGTATGCTCGGGAAGTAATTGAGAAAATACCCGATGAATAACAGCATTAGTATCTAAATAACATAAGAAAAATTCTGTAAAAATTCTATTATTATCATGTGGGACCTGTTTAACTATTTTAATTTTTTCATTGCAAATTGGAATGCTGGAAAATCTTCTTTCTATGCATTAGAAAGCCTATTCGGATGATGAAATCATGCAATATAATGCAAGTTTGTACTGCTGATACTTTCCATTCTTCTATGAACTGTGACATTTGTCAAACTCTAGAAATATAAAAGTCATGGACCATATAACTACAAAACCTCTTATAGTATTATGAAAAATTTGTATTGTAAATAGATTGTACTGTATATATTCGAAATTACTTCCATATCTATTTAAACTGTACTTATGTGGATGTAAAATAACATAATGTGAGCTTTATGAGCAATTTTCAAACAACTTTGTTTCCGAAGATCTTTATGAATATGATTTCTAAAATTACTATCTGTGTTATAATCCAATTTCCTTATTCATATCGCTGTCTATTATAACTTGCAATAAGTGATTAGACAGAAATGTCTATGGTGTCCCTTCGATGAATTCCAAATTTAGGATCTCAATTTGAATAACCTATATGCAATAATAATATAATTCATAAAATGTTTTGGTAACACATTATTCACATTGAACCAATAACTACTTGCACAGCACAGCGTTTGAAACAAAATTATTTATTTATTCTTTCATAATTAATCAATAAGAATAGTATTATTTCAAGCTGTTGATAAAAGAATACAAATAGGCAGTGAGCAAACACTTGAGAATTATAAACACTCATAAAAAATCAAAATGAGCATTTTTATTAACATTTAAAAATATATAAATAATTAAATTTTAAGATTAAAAGAATAACACATAATCTGTTCCAACTTGACAACCATCTATTTGGCGTGAGTAGGCGATACTCGATACATCTGTCATTTGAATAATATTGTGTGGGAAGCCATTTTTAATCAAGTGCTGTTTACCAAAAATTTTCAAATTAAAAATGTAAAGTTTCTACGCAGATTTGAAATATTATCTCACCTTTTGGACAATCTCTGGATTGGCACGAATTTTTCAAGACTAAGACTGGCCAAATCCATTCAGCCGTTTTCGAGTTTTATTCGGACATTTGAAAGACAGCTCCATTTTTATATATAAGATTATTGACAACAATTTAAAATTATTATTATATAAAATATATGTGATACCCGTAACATTACAATACCAAGTATAAGATGAAGTTGAATTTGGCGCCGTTGACATTTCGCCTGCGTTGGCCGACCTGCGTCTCTTTTAGTGAGTGCATCTATCATATTACTCTGTGGTCGTGCTTAGCTCAAGTCACAAGTCACGTGTGTCGTGCGTTTATTGTAATTTGTGAAGCAGGAAGTGATTCATCGAATGTAAATGCAAAAGTAAAGATATAGTACAGATAAAACAGGTAAAATAGTGATTTTATTTGTGTTAAATAGAGTTTATTCTGTGCTTCGCATTAGTTTTGATGTTTAGTTCATTAGTTTAAATTCAGTGCTTTAGTGGACGATGATTCATCCAATTGGGCGATAAAATTATTTGCAGGTATTTTGTTATTATTATAATTGATTGATAATTTTGCTTGTTGATTTAACACGCCAAAATAGCAAAACATTTGACCGCATTCTATTCTGCATTGACTTGGATTTAATATGTGAAATAATCGTTAATAACGCTCGTGTTTCTTTCTGTTTAATGTTTTAATACGCTATTGATTTAATTTTAAACTAAATTTTCGTCCTATTTATGATGATTTGTTGTTTATCGATATCGTATCAATTACAGAGAAAGGATATGGTTGATGCACATGTTATTTTTATTTTCATTTACATTCATTTATTTTCCCTCTTCTTTGAGACTGCTTCAAAATAATATTTTTATTACTATATATGAATTATTATAATATTTTGTAATTTCAGATGGAGGTGAAGAAATACTGTTGAACATTATGGAGGGCTATGTGAATGTTTCAATGAATCATCTTGTATTCAAGAGCTATATGAGGTGACTTGAGAAAATGATCTTGACAAGTAAGTACATCCATGTTTGTTCTTGCGATGGATATAATCCTGATTAGTACGATTACATATACCATGTTCTACGAAACATTTTGAGGCACATGTTGACAGTAGTCGATGAATGAAATTCAATTTTGTACCATATCCTTTTCCAACAGTTCATATTTAACCCTGTTGTATCACACAAATAAATGAAAAATTAGTTATCAGCACATGTTTTTTTGATTACACGATGCTTATAATACCAACAGGCGTGGATGTGCTCGATTTAATCAAATAGTCTATACAAGTGCCTGTTACATATGAAAACAGCTCATACATGGTTTATATTACAAGAACTATTGCATGTTTGTTTTTTCTTAATTATCACATATGGTACCAAGGTATCACTTGTTGGTTATACAATTCATTGTGCATTGGCACTGATTTCTATAATACGATCAGACAATATTGATGTGGCTTGTTTTTATATTTCTCTGTTGTGTTGATAGTAATGTTCGTTTTAATCTTTTGACCTTCTGATAAGAACATCCAAATCAAGAGCACTTTCTTTTTAAAACCCTAATTTTCATTCGTTTATAAAAACTTTCAAAATACATATTGGTATTAATTCCTAATTCTTTCCAATAACAGTAAACCAAGTTTAACCGTGTTTGAGAAAAATATGCCGAAAATTGCATTTTCATATTAACATTTCAAAAGAGTTGATATTTTGAGTTTCTAGTAACACTGGCGGCCCGCTTACTAACGTTTTTATATATAAATAAAAGTACAAACAAAACTACTTACTACCAATTTATCATAAATAAATAATATTCGCGTAAAATATCCTATTAAACGTAATTGAACATCATCTGTCAAAAGCGTTTGACATTTCACGAAACTGCCACCGTCCATTGTTTTATTTAAATTACGCTTCTACAAAAATTTTCAAATTAAAAATGTGAAGTTTCTACGCGGATTTGAAATAATTTCTCACCTTTTGGACTTTCTCTGGATTGGCTCGAATTTTTCAAGACTGGCCAAATCGATTCAGCCGTTTTCGAGTTTTATTCGGACATTTGAAAGAGAGCTCCATTTTTATATATAAGACTAGCTGACCCGGCAAACGTTGTTTTGCTAAGTAAGGTATATTCTAAAGAATTTTTAGAGAATCAAAAATATTAATACTTTAAGTGTATAAGGATGAGTTGTTTTAATGCTATATACAATTAGGTATTTTAAAAACAATATACCCCATTAGTTTGTCCATATTTTGTCAATACAATCAAACTGAAAGATTTATACACTTTCTATAGAAAACAGTATAATCCATCCAAGTCTTTTTTGGTCTTTCGACTTATTGATTAAGTTTCAAGTTTTTCAGATTCTTTTTGGATTCTGGATTTTGTGTATAATTATAAATAATGCTACTGAGCTTATACAAAATTTTCAAATTTTTGCAAGGAGAGATAAAAAATGAAGTAAGTATTTCTTCTTTGACCTGCTTTTTGAAAAGTTTCAAGTTACATTCGATGAATTAAAGTAAATTTAATAAAAAGTATATATGTAGAGCAGGGTGAGACACAAAGGTCCAATTTGACTTTGAGCAAATATAAACTATATTGTGAAAACCATAACAATTATATCACAACAAATAAGACTACGTTCAGTAATCTGACTTCTACTTCATTATTGTAGAAATGTGCTTTTTTGATGTCTTTCAAAAATATCTTATCTAGACCTTTTTATCCTATATGCGGGGTAACTTGTAACGGGCAGGTGGCAAAAGGTTTAAAGCCTTATTAAAAGGTATTTTACAAAATAATTACATTTTTAACTAATGCTAAAACTACCAACGGAAGAAAATACTTTTATTATGGATTTTCAAAGATTACCGTTTATCTCCCCCATTTCATAGATTATCGTTTTCAAATCAAGTTTGTAGCTAGCTATACATC